TTAGAAGATCACTTGCTTGATGTTCTGGAAAACTGTCAATTGTATAAAATCGCTATATTGCCCTTCTATAGTCTCTAGTAGGCATGGTTGGCGGTGCTACACGTGCAGCAGTTACTCAACACCAAGCGTTGGTGGGAAATATGGCTGATGTTGCCGCGAAAGATGGAAGTCAGGTTCGTTTCCCAAACACTTTGATTTTTCATTTCTCTCAAGCCTATTTGAATTAGAATAGCTTTGTGACGTAGAGCACTTTGCCTCTTTCTACGCCTTCCATCTATAGCAAATGCAGAGACAATTGTACAAAGTTAGTTTGAATGTAAGACATTTTCCTCTCTCATCCACCCTGATGTTTTCCTCTACTTGTGCAAATTAAGTACACCTAAAATTGCCTCCTTCCTGTTTCAGGAGACTCTGTCCAACTTCGTAGCTTTACTCGTGAATCTGATCCTCCTCACCATGGTTACGGGTAATCTGTTGTGAGTTCATCCTTCTATTAACTCCCATTGAACACTTCATCGTTGTCAAAGCGTTCATTTGGCTGGAACATTGACAGGATTTTTTCACATCAATGGAATCTGTGGGCGTGTAGAAATTATTAGTGGTGACAGCATATGGGTGTGTTAGGCAGCTATTTCCTCTTTACCTCCATTTAAAATCACCGTCAAACGCTTATGCATTATGTACTACAGAGGAAAAGTCTCACCCTTTTTGTCGGCAAATGTTATTGTGGCATTCATATAACTTTTTGTGACGTTAATTCCCTTGACGGTTAAACTTGCTCTCCGAACCCTTTCTTCAAAAAGACAGCCTTTTTGGCATCTGCTTCAAGACGGTAAAACCCAACTCCCACTTTCCATTGCAAGCCTGTGAGAAATTAGCTCAAAACCATCTTGAAATGCCTACGTTGGTAGGATTTATTCACCCACCAGTTTCTACAACATACCTTTCGCCATTTTTTCACCTTTTCTCCTCTCTTTGAGTAAAAAAGTTTGAGGTCTTCCTCCACGGGGTCTGTTTTGGTTGTATGTGGGTGGTAAGTTGTTCTGCTTCCTCCTCTGTTTACTGCATACTTTGTACCGGATACAGCATACCGGATACCATGTACTGCATCTTCGATGTGAAGGTAGCTGTCCGACCAGCCATTTTCTGCCAAATCCATGAAATTGGATTTTTTGTGGGAATTTGCAAGACAGGCAGAATAGACTGGCTCTTTGAAGGCCTAACTTAGCCTAGCCATACTTACTTTTATAAAAATCGTATGCATTTGCTTGGTCGTTCCCTTCACCTATCCATGACGCCTTCATTGTACACTTGACTGAAATCTCTCTTTCAAGCAACTCAACTCATGCGCTATTTTAAGGCGTGAGCCATCTTTTTTCCCCCTCCTCCGTTTATGTCTCCACTGGAATGCGCTTTTAATTTGAGATAAGTTGAGTGGGAACAAAATTTACCCGGTCTTTATTGTTTCCTCCCTCCGCTTGGCACGCATTCCCCTAATTATCGGCAATTTGGAATTTCAACAATTCATTTGTTTGTTATTTTTTTGATCTGGAATGTGATTTGTTCCTCTTCTCTTGTAATTAATTAAATCTTTCCTCATTTGTAGTCTTAGCATTTAAATTCCTCCTTGTACGGGTGGGTGAAGTCTCCAAATTTCACTTATACACTTATTAACTCACTTTATTATCTCTCCAACAATTCTTCCTTCCCTTTGTGGTTCGGCTCAGCTTGATTTGGCTACTCTTTACTTTGCTCACACCAATTCACCTCTACGCCAATTGGAGAGCGGTGCGGTGCTTGGAATTTACCACTCTCAATCGGACAAGATTCAGCATCCTTATACAAGATTGGCTTAGGAAGCACAATGAACAATCGGATCAGCTGCCACCTCTCCTCTCAGTCCACGAAGTGAATCAACGTGAACCCATTCTCCGGTCACTTTGGTCCGACTCACGCAATAGAAGCATCCACCTTGGATGCTCTTTTGAAAAACTCACTTGTGTTGTGAGGTAATGACCCCACATCGTATGCAACTTTTATGAACTCATGCCATCATTGTAGAGGAAGACAGTGGAATTAGGGCTTAGGCGTAGTAATTGATAGTGTGTATGCGTGTCTGGTGATCACTTCTTTTTTTTGCCCTCTGATTTACATGTGATGTTGAGGTCTGTGTTGCTTACCTTCGTGTATGCTTTGTAGAGACTGCAAACTTCTTTCATTGTTGGGCGTGTTTGCAGAGGAACGCTACATCCTCTACTGTCCCGAGTGGAAGAAAGTGGGTAGGTGGCTTTGATTCCTGCCTTTCTCTTTTGATTTGACATCAAATTTAGGCTAGTAGTGAGACTGTGTATACTTACTGACTCTTTTGAGCACTCCTTGCGTTTACTCTAGTACGTTGACATTTTTGAGGTCAGAATTGAGTCTTAAATTGATCATCACTGTTCACTCATTGTTCAACGTGACGAAAGCATACGAATTTCTGAAGTGTAAAGTCAGACTCTCAAAGTGATAGGTAAAGATGACAATTTTTCATTCTTGATTAAGCAACGACCGTATTCGGCCCATAAATCTCATTTGATTGTATCCTGTCGGGAGGATGAGAAAGGTGAGTGAAAAGGAAGGATTGATGGAGAGGAGTTGGAGATTGAAGGT